TAAGTGAATGTGTCGGTATTTATTCATTTCTCCTGTCAGTATGATTTCATGCTTTTCAACTACAGATTTTTCAAAAGTGTACGTTAAGTAAATATTGACTACATACAAACAGCCCTAACACGTGAATAATCATACCACTTATCGATAAACGCTCAATGAAAAGAAAAAATCTTCAACAATAATAATTTTCTTTAAATTTTTAATTAGATAGTGTCTGTTTCTATAGGTCATATTAAGAACACTCTTTATGTTGGAGTTATGTATTAAAAAAGTATTTTCTTTATTGGTCTTTTCTGCATTAAAAAATAAAATTTAAAAAAGCATTAGAATCCATATACACAAGTAAGTTCTAATCTTGCATGACGTCTCTATTATTTTAATTACTGCTATTAGGAAGTATACGGTTTTGTTTCGTGTTTTCTTTCTAACTTTTGAACTTGCTGAAACTTTATGTCATTATTGAGTTCTGTGTTTGAAATTACTTTTAAATCGACATTTTTAGTGAACAACATAGGATATCAGACTAGAACGGTGCTGCTAGTCCCTGGACTGATAGATGAATGATTGTTTTTCGCTCATCCGCTATTACTCTCGTATGTGGTATTGGGTGCGAGAGCGACTTACAATAATGTAACTAACGACGGAAGGTCCCGAAGTTGGAAAGTGCTTCTTCGATGAAGCAACATCTTGATTCATAACTTTGACGGCGGTTGTAATGCCAGTTGCGGTTATGTATAAAGTCGCTCATTTACGAATAATTTACAAGTAGATCTAACTGATAACGGTAGATCATTAAAATAAATTAAGGAAAGCAATGATCCCCGTACAGAGCCCGGGGGAACCGCACGTCAGAGATAGCTCATCCGATGTTTTTCCGTCAACCATAGTTACAATGCGTCTGAATGATAGATAGCTGTCAAACCACCGAACCAGCGAATCAGAAAAACCCTTACTGCGAAGCTTAACCAGTAATCCACTATGAAAAACCTTATCAAACGCCTTACTAGAACTCAAAAACGCTGCTAGCATCGGATTCCCTTCACTCAAACTATTAGCAATAAAATCAGCTATTGAAATTAGTTGATTCACAGAAGAGTCGTGAGATACAAAACCAGCCTCGGTTTTACAAATTAAATTGTTGGTTCTAGAAAATCATAAACATGCCAGTAGATGATTCGCTCAAAGATTTTTGATATTGCTGATAAAAGTGTAATGGGGCGGTAGTTATTCGGTGATTGAGGATCATCAGGCTTATACAATGGTATTATGTTTATGTACCCTAATTGCCATGCCTTTGGAAATTCCTCATACTAGCAACCCAAGCTTAAAAAAGGACCCTGCATCGCTTTTTTTTCTGCTGCGAAAATGACTAGATGCGCCTAGATAACTAGATTTTTTTTACTCATTTAGCTAGATGCTGCTGTTGGAGCATCGACTTATCTAGCTGCATCGCTCGATGCATCGACTCTGGTCCACGAAATAAAAGGGTGAATGCGTCGTTTTGGCTGGTATCTGGCGACATCTGTACGATACACTGATCGATGTATCTAGACGTGCATCGAGCGATGCATTTAGCTAAACGAGTAAACGAAATCGACCGATGCACCAGCAAAGGCATCTAGATATTTCTACTAGAGAGGTTTTGCTTTGGAAGTTATTAAACAACTCTGTAAGAACAGGAGTAATGGTAGCTGCTGACTGTTTTAACATCCTATTTGATATTCCTGGTGAGGTTACCTATGTGGGTCGATAGTCCAGCAAATGAGCCACCGCACAGCAATATCCAAGGAGGAAAAGGCGACTTTTTCTTTCTTATCATCAGTGAGCATCGCATCAGCATCGGATACTGAGCATGTCAAGCTCCGGAAAGCATTTCAACGGCTCCCGGAGCCACCTTTTCCTCCTTGGCAATATCCCAACATTTCCGCCTTGAATCCTAGTTTACCGAAGATGACTCAGATCTATTGCTATCATTTCAATATCATATTATATTCTATAGATAACAAATAAGTATACAATTCTCAGATGTGTCTGTAATCAAGAAAGATAAATCTAGGACAAGCTGTGCAACACATATGTGAATTGTTAGTTTGTTCTAAAAAGGTTCATCGGACATATTTTTAGTCACCTGTGAGAAAAATATTTTATCCATTTTGTAGGATACAAGTAGTGCATGCAATAGTTGTAAAAAGCCTCAAAACAAATCTTTTTGATTGCTATTGAGCTGCAACCAGAGCAGATTAGGTATGCACCGGTATCGGTATTCATACCGAAAATACCGAACTTCGGTATATACCCATATCGAAAATACCGACTTTTTTCACTTGGAATTTTTGGGGATTTTTTCATTTGAAATGAGATGTTTTAGCGTCCTGGACACCCAGAATGAATCAGGGACGGAAAACAAGAGCTTTGTTTGCTTTCTAAAGCCAAAGTTTTTCTTTTTTTTCCATCTGCACATACTCAAAATATACAACTGAGTGTTGTTTATACGTTCTGCTTGTCCAGGATGCTAAAATACCTCATTTCAAATGAAAAAATCCAAAAAATTCCAAGTAAAAAAAAGTCGGTATTTTCGATATGGGTATATACCGAAGTTCGGTTTATCACTTGAAAGAGTCTCAGATTAGTTCTGTCCGTTCTCAAACATAATATAGCAGGTTAATGCATAATCTTTGACCATTGACCATTGACCCGGGGACAAACATACACACAAACTTATTTTATTTCATATGACCATTCCTTGAGCAGGGGGAAAAAAACATTTATTTCAGGATACAGTTTCTGGTTTATTAGTACGAAGTAGATATTAGAAATATCATTCGTGAATATGACTACGCATATTAGGGGCCTCTATTTCACTTTTTCACTGCAACTATTAACGGGAATAATCGTTCTCGTCACACTTAGTTATTACTTTATCGAAACACCGTTTCGATAACAATGATCGATTTTCACGTAAACAAATATTCTGTTCTGTTCTCCTGGCTGATTTAGCCGAGATAGATTTAGAAGATAGATGTTTTATAACGGAGAAATCTTGGAACTGCGAACAGTCGTATTTTGATCTCTAATTGTGCGATAACTCTGTTTTTGAGTCATCGCTCTATTTATTATGAACGCACGAGTTTTTCTGTATTTTTTTCTGTTTCTTCTGTATAAAGCAAATGACTATATAACTGCTGCGACACAGCATGTAACTGGTGAAAATTGTATGCACTCAGTAACCGATCTAAAAACTTTGGACCAGGTCGAGCCAACCAAGTGTAACCGGTTGATTTACGTCTTTTCCTCCACCGGATCGGTTTAAATCGATCGGTCGCCGTTTACATCTGTAAAATCTCGGTATACCTACGGTTCGGATTTTTCCATCAACTTTTTCGTTTGTATTTGAGTATTTCTCATACGTTTAAAAACATCCACCACTGTGTATGAATAATAGCGTCAAAGAATACAAGTTTCACATGTTAAAATTCATCTTAAAATGTGATATATGACAGTAACTTTTACAACAACAGAAACAGAGCAAACGAAATTCATACGATGGATCATCTGATGAAGTCATCCGTTTTGGAAAAATCTGTTAGAAGACATTTTCCAAATTATTTCTGAATTTACTACAATTTTAAGCACGCAATAATGATGTTTTAACTCTTTCAACCACATTTTTTCCTTTTCAAAAATGTTTGTTTAGTAACAGAAAGGCGTATTTTATGTAGAATATTTGATAGAAGGCTTTTGCGATGTCTAGAAAGAAACAGTTATGTAGTTGGAAAAACCACACAGTAAAACAACCAATAGAAATTCCATTTTCACGCTTTTCCTTCACGATTTTTCAACATTAGTTTTCTATGCTTTTCTTGCTGTACTTTTTTCTTCACATTTTTATCAGTTCACGGTTTTTGACCACACTTTTGGTTGATGGAGTTTTAATAAAGCATATTTTCCACATAAAAGTAGAGATGAACAAGAGCATGTTTTAGACTAACTATTTTATTATAACGGGTGAGCCATAAAGAATGACCCTCTCAACTTGGTTTGGATTTGTTTCCGAGACTCAATGCTGTTTTAAAAGATGTGCTGCGAAATATTCTACAAAATCATACCTAAACTATAATTTCAGAACTTCAATCAAGAAAACTAAGTCAATTAGATGAAAGTCGAAAAAAATGTAAACTTTCTAAAGTCCAAAATTATTTCTTGTTTTAAAGTTTTGAAAGTGAGAAAAACTGAACTAGCCATTTTGTAGCCCTGACTTCGCTCTATCTTTGAGCTAACCTTCAAATTTTTTCACATCAAAAGCCACAGCGAAAAATAGTTTTTCTATCAGTTGTCATGCATTTTTTCATTAATTTTTTTTTAAACTTTGGATATAGTAGTGCTTTCAGTAAAAGTCCCATAACTTCATTAAAATAAAAGCTTTTTCGATCGAGTTTGCTTTGTTTTGATCAGAAATGATTGCTCTTCCTTATCTAATTGCAGAATCAAACTTCAATTATCTTTTCCGTTTTTTGACTGCGCACATTGTTGGAAACTGAGAGGTTGTCAACTTTTGATGTATTTTCGTAACGTTGTTCTCGAGCACACCATCTGCTCTAAAATCTATCATGAAAAGAAAACAAGAAAAACATCATGAAAAGAAAACACGAAAAATCTCACTTATCATCATTATTCTATTATTTGTGTTTTTAATTCATATGAACCAGTTTTTCTATTACGTTCTAAAATACAATACTCACAATTATCAAAATCTTTTAATCGACGATGTTTTTCTGCAGTCAAACGGAAATATCTCATACAAAATAGACTCATAAATAGACCATGACTAACAATAAGAATATTATCAGATAGAAAATAACCAGTATTCAATTTTCTAAAAAGCGTATCTAAAAATAGTGTACAGCGATCATAAACATCAGCACCACTTTCACCATTACGAAAACGATAAAAAAAATGGCCAACTTCGTTTCGCTCAATTAATTCTTGTTCACGTATCGATGGATCCATAAAATTACCCCATTCTTGTTCACGTAAGCGTGGATCTTCACATACATTTAAAATTTGTTGAGCAGAAAAGGAACTAAATAGATAGACATCAAACAATTAGATTCACATCTAGTACTACATGGATTTTAGGTGTTTTAATATCATTTCTCGTCGCTAAGAGCTAGAAACTTCAAGAAAACATCTTTTTGTCGAGAAATGACAGAGCTAAACATACAACATGATATGTTTCAAAAGAAATTTTTCGACTTAGTTTGAAGGTCAGAACTAAAATAGCCAGAAAATGGTGCAAAAATAAACAAACTTGTAGATCAGTTTATTTTCTAAACTTTGATTCGCATTTAAAATGAGATGTGTGGACAAAGTGTCTAAAGACGAATTGACGAATAGTAATTTTTAAGCGTAAAAATGATGTAACAATTCGCGTTTTACCCTTATTTTGCGGATTCGTGCCGAATTGATGCGAACTGTATCGAATTCGTACGGATACTCTTAAAAATTTTTACGAATTCTTCTTGCGAACTCGTAAACAGAGAATAGATCAAACACGGTGCTGATCAATTCGCAAATAATTCGTAAAATTAGTTTACGAATTCGTGTTCACTGTTTTTGGAACTAGACTGATTCGAAAATACGAATTAGCGAATTCGTATTGCGAACTGATCCGGTTGAAAATGGATCCACGAATTGACAAACCCATTCTGCAAATTCATTGCGAATCGATGTGTACGCTTATTAGGCTACGTAGGGACACGACACTTTTCTCTGAGGTTAGAAATAGATAGATTCACATGTTCGAATCTCTATTCGTACAAAAACTGATTTTGTGTTTTTCGATAGTTTTAGTTTAGAATACTATAAAGGAATATTCTTCCGCTTGTATTCTGACAGAATAAAGCTTATATAAAAAAAAAAATAGATAGATTCGTCTCTTCTCATCGATTCGCATACTTCTCATATCAATTCGCCGTTATGCTTACGAATTCGTAAAATATGGCATGTTGTGTAAATACTCCTCACTGTCACCCCCCTCCCGCCCGGCAGATGCACACAAAAGGGAGAGAGATTCGTATTTTACGAATTCTATTTATTAATTCGTCGGTTCTGCTGTGGCATCTATGGAGTCGTAAATAAAATTCGTAAATTCACATTTTATCGTATTTTTGCCAATTTACGAATTAGTACACGAATTCTTGAGGACCAAAATGATCATTTCACGGATTCGTCGATGGTCGACCAATTCGATTTACGAATTTGTAGGTACTGGAAATTTCTTTCTTACGAATTCGTCCTAATTTATGTATTGGCAAAAGGAAGAAAAGAGGCAATTTTTTGGTTCGTTTTTGATCATTTTTGTTAGTTCGCATCAGTTCGCATTGAATTACGAATTCGCTGCGAATTCGCAACACAATGGTAAAATGCGAATTGTTGCATCATTTTTACGCCCAAAAACTGCGATTCGTCAATTCGTCTTTAGACACTTTGTCCACACTAATGCTTAAAATCAGTTTAGTCTTAAGTCGAGAACCGTATAAAACAAGAAAGAAAGCATTAGTATGCAAATTTTCTTCGCTAACGTGACAACCTTTCGAAATGTCCCCTTCCAATTCCAATGATCTGTACATAGATCGACAGTCAGTAAGGTAGTAAATACCCTAAAAGGATTCATGCTCATGACCCCCGACGACCCGGTTTTCTGTAAACCAGTTTTTCAAGAACTCTAGGAAATAATCAAAACCTTTTCTTAATAGAACATGATGGTAGCCCGCAAATTTTTGATTAAAATGAGACATCTCTCTCAGCTCTACATGACCTTTCTTTGCTAAGTTATATAATTTACAAGAAAGCCCTAAATGTTTATTGCTAACTCAAAGGTACAGAAATAAGAAGAAATTAATTTAGGGCTTTTCTTGTAAATTGTAAAAGAAAGGTCATGCTGGCAGATGTCTCATTTTAATCAGCAAATTGCGGGCTACAATCATGCCTCATTAAAAGAGGTTTGGGTTACTTTTTAGAGTTCTTCATCGTGAAAAGTTGCCTTATAACCCAGGCAGTCACCTATATGTTTTGAAAATTCGTTTTAACGCAGTTTTGGCATTCATAGAGCACGAGAATATACAGTTTCGTCATGAATACCGCGAATTGCTTGAGCTTTAAATATACGCCTTAATCAAAACCGCGTTTTTGTCATCAATAATTCGCGAGAAACACGTTTATGTCCTTCATAACTTTTTAAAAATGAGTTTTCAGTCGCAATAGACTTCAAGACTCGCGGACGACACCGAATTTTTCGCGTTTAAGACTCAACTGAAACGAAATTAACGCGTTTTGGCTAGAAATAACATTTGAAAAGCGCGTTTCACTTTTTGAAAATTTATAAGATAGTTTCTTACCTACGTAAAACGCATTTTGCAGACTGAAGTCGCGAAATTAGGCATTTCTGTAACAAATAATGAGCGAAAAATGCGTTTTCAACGCAATGTAACGCGAGATTGACTCAAGTACAGCGAAAAACAAATTTTCTATAAAAAGTGCGAAAAAATGCGAGTTTAGCTTTAAAATATCGCGCGAAACTCTATTTGCGAAAAATTTAGCGCGTTTAACGCAATCTAAGATTGCCCCAAACGCGACTCTGGCGCTTTTTTCTTTAAACGAATTTCTTGTGATAAATTTTTCGTATATATTTTGAGGCTAAAACCCCGTTAAAACGAATTTTCAAAACATATAGGTGTTAGGAAATATTTCTCCACAGTTACTGTTCCCACAGCTGGACCTTTGCCTATTCCGCTATCAAATTTCGCTCTAGCATTAGTACTGAACCTTATATGTCCAACTGTTGAGCAAATAATCGATGCCATTAATAGCCTACGCGAAAATGTTGCATGCGGCCCAGACGAAATCCCAGCCGCTGTATTAAAAAAAAACGTCAGTATCATTTCTATACAGCTGCACCATATCTTTAAATTATCCATCGAAACAGGAGAATTTCCTGATAAATGGAAAGTTGCTACAGTCAATCCGACTTATAAAAAGGGTCCTAAAAATATTGTGTCTAATTATAGACCAATATCTCTCCTTAGTATCGCTAGTAAAATTCTTGAAAGATTCGTTTATAATCAACTTTCTAACCATCTTAATTCAAACAATTTTTTCTCAAATAACCAGTTTGGCTTTAGGCCCAAGACCTCAACCGTTGATGCACTTCTTTACCTATTAAATAACTTGACAAAGAACCTAAATACACAACCACCAGTAGACACCATCTTGGTCGCATTTGATTTAGAAAAAGCCTTTGATAAGGTCTCGTTTCAAATTATTCTATCGCGTTTAGCGCTGTTAGGCTTGTCATCGAATGTGCTAAAATGGTTTACTAGTTATTTAACTAACCGCTTCCAGCAAGTACGTGTTGGCGCTGCTTTATCTACGCCTACGCCAGTGCTCTCCGGGGTAGTACAGGGTTCAGTTCTTGGTGCCTTACTTTTCCTTATTTTCATAAATGAACTACCAACTGTAGTCCAATTACCAGCAGACAGCATACTTTTCGCTGATGACTGTACACTCTACTGTCCAATGGCCTCGTCTGATACGCCAGCTGTATGTCAAGAGAATATTGAGAAAATATGTAACTGGTGTACCTCAAATCTGATGTCTTTAAACGCAAATAAATGTGCCTGGATGTTTGTCTCTAATATACCAAGTAGAGCTAATAATTTACAGTTCACATTGAGTGATAGTACAACCATAACACATCAACCTTCCCTTATACTCTTAGGCCTTAAAGTCAGTTCTAATCTGAGATGGCGCGAACATATTGAAGATGTTGTACTAAATTGTAGAAAACGACTAGGCGCTATGTACAGACAGTTTAAAGATGCACCCTCTTCAATTCGTCTACAAATTTATAAAACCTGCATATTAGCTAAATTAGACTACGCTTGTGCTCTGTACGACAATAACTTTGCTAATTTGGAAAGTCAACTTGAATCAGTTCAAAAATTAGCGGCTCACATGATCACACGTGATTTTCATACACCAGGAAAAGCCCTTGTCGAAAAACTAAAACTACCTTTACTCTCCGTGCGAAGGAAGTATTTCCGACTAATGTATTTTTTTAAAGTCCTTAACGGCTTATCACCCTTATCTCGCTTCAGTCTTATACAGCTTGATGTGAGTAGAAGATCCGATCGTCTACTACAGCATAACAGACAAGTTTTTATCCCGTTTGCCCGCACTGACACTGTCCTACAATCTTTTTTGTATAGGACAACTCGCGATTGGAACTCTCTCCCCAACACTGTAGTTATCTCGCCAACAATAAAATCTTTCAAAACCAAACTGAGGCAGCACTTACAACTGTGAAAAGGGAAAAAAAAAATAGGACAAAAGGTGGCAATTTTTATAGGTGTTCAAAACCTTTTTTGCTTTCCTGACAACATGTTTATGTGTTAGTTAAACTTGTTTTTTTTTATTGTAATACTAAAGTTTACTCTTTTTTTTTCAAAACTGCTATTGTCGAAATAAAAACAAACAAACATCAAATAAACGTATCTTTTATTCACAAACGATATAGAATTAAACTGCAAAAAACAAAGGCACTAGTAGACATTTTTTCTTCTGCTTGTATAAACTAGTTTATAAACTAGTGTTTCCAAAAATTGAATCTTCTACATAACATTCTTTCAGTACATCACATAATTCAATATCTATTCAAAAAGGTGCAAACAACCCGACTATAAGAACGATTTCTTCAAATGAAGAAGATCTGTGAGTTTTTCAACAAAAAACAAACAAAGCCATACGAAAACGAGAATATTTTGTTGATTAATCTAAAAAAGTGGACATTTGTATTTGTTTATTCTTCGAGAAAACGTTCGGCACATTTATCAAGCTTTGATATAAGTTTATCAATATTTGAAATTGTGTTCGTTGTTTGTGTGACTAAAGGGACCCTTTTTTTTACTAAAATATTGCCTCGTTCATCATCATCACAACTTGTACCAGTCATATCATACGTACTTAATGGGCGTTTCTTTGACTGCCTAGGAAGAGTAGGTGGAGCTGTGGCTGATGATTGCGATAAAATTGTTAGATCATCTTCGTCATCATCTTCATCGTTTAAAATTCGAACTGTTTTTTTGTTTTTTATTGGTTTTACAGT